GAGGCGGGACTGACCGGGGAGGACGAGGTCGGCAGGACACGCCATGAAGGGTCGTCGGCGCCCAGGCCCTCGGTCGGGGCGCGCTGAGGATGGGGTCCCCAGCCGGGAGGGCGCGCCTCGGGTCTGGGCCGTCCGCCGGCCGAGGTGACGGCCCCGTGTCCTTCCCCGCCCAGGGAGCCCTCGGGTGGGCAAGATCGTCATGACCGCCGCCACCAAGCACCTGACGCCCGTCACCCTGGAGCTGGGGGGCAAGAACCCCTGCTACGTGGACGACGACTGCGACCCCCAGACCGTGGCCAACCGCGTGGCCTGGTTCCGCTACTTCAACGCCGGCCAGACCTGCGTGGCCCCCGACTACGTCCTGTGCAGCCCCGAGACCCGGGAGCGGCTGCTGCCCGCCCTGCGGGACGCCATCGCCCGCTTCTACGGCGACGACCCCCGGGGCTCGCCCGACCTGGGCCGCATCGTCAGCCAGAAGCACTTCCAGCGGCTCCGGGCTCTGCTGGGCTGCGGCCGCGTGGCCATCGGGGGACAGAGCGACGAGAGCCAGCGCTACATCGGTGAGTCCCGGCCCCTGCCGCGGCCGGCGAGACCCTTCGCGTCTGGAGGGGCAGCAGCGGGGCAGCGGGTTGGGGCCCCACCTGCAATCCGGCCCCGTGTTGGGCCCCAGCCTGGGGCCGCGGAACCTGGTGCCGAGATTCCGTCTGCCCACACACCCGTGGCTGTGCTTCTCAGCCTGTGACGCTGGTCCCCCAGCTCTGGATTTGCCAAGCTCAGTCCCCAGGGCTCCAGGGCCCCGGCGCTAGGACTGTCAACACCCGCCCGCCATCGGGGGTCCACGAGGTGGGACCCCAGATCCTCTGCACCTCGTTCCCCGGGTTCTAACTCCCACGGCCCCATCCTGGGCGGCACACAGGATGCCACGGTACCGACACCCTGGGACACTGTCCCTTGGACTCTGTGGCTCTGAACCCCGACCCCCAGCCGTGAGACCAAGGGTGGGCACTCTCTGGGCCCCGCAGGCCCCGGGCAGCCTGGGAAGGCCTTCGAGTCCCTTCTCGGGGCTGCGGGACTTTGCTCCCAAGAACACCCCGGGCCCTTGACCCTGCCCGGCCCCCACCCGGGACGTCCCGGCCAAGGCCCTGGGGGGCTGAGCTGGCCCCTGGGCAGCTGTCCGCCGTGCCCGCAGCCCCCACGGTGCTGGTGGACGTGGAGGAGACGGAGCCCGTGATGCAGGAGGAGATCTTCGGGCCCATCCTGCCCATCATGACCGTGCAGAGCCTGGACGAGGCCGTGGACTTCATCACGCGGCGGGAGAAGCCCCTGGCCCTGTATGCCTTCTCCAACAGCAGCCAGGTGGGGCCGGGCGGGGGGTGGAGCCTGCAGGATGTGCCGTGGGCAGTGGGCATGGTGGCAGCAGAGGGCAGGTGGCCCCTTGAGGCAGTCACGGGATGTCAGCAGCAGCCTTCCCAGCTCTGCTTCTGCCCCCGACCCTGGGAGCAGCCGTGGTTGGCTCCTGGGGTCTTCTCCAGGGCCCAGCGTTTCCCCTGATTCGCCCCTACCCTCGTTCTTCCTGACACGTGTGGGCCCTGGAGATGCCTCCTTGCACCCGGCTCTGAAGGCCCGGGCAGCATGCAGGGGTGACCTTGTGGGGAAATGACCTGGACATGCAGGCCTCAGGGGCAGCCCTGGTCCTCCACCCCTGCCAAACTGTGGGGACAGCCCGGGAGCCCCAAGGGCACATGGGCGGCGTCCCCAGACTCAGACACAGAAAGACATGTCGGAACTGTTTGTTTGTTTGTTTTTTGAGTCGGAGTCTCACTCTGTGGCCCAGGCTGGAGTGCAGGGGCAGGGGCACGGCCGCTGCAGCCTCGACCTGCTGGGTTCCAGCGATCCTTCCACCTCAGCCTTCCCAGTAGCCGGAACTACAGGCGCGCGCTACCACGCCTGGCT